CGTTTCGGAAAACGCGATGGCAACTAGAAGAACTAGTCCTCACATTCAGTATATGGATGAGAATTGCACCGATGACAATGGAAATGAGTATCTTATTGTTGATAGTGTGAGGAGATTTGGGATTTTTGTGGAGATTTTGTCCTGTAAGTGAAGTCAATCTATGCGGAAAAGCCGAGAAACACCTCCACTCATGGCCGAACGGTTAAGTGTTCAAAGTACTAGCCGGGAGGTCGCGGGTTTGAGACTCCGGAGTTTCGTGAGATGCGCACCTCTGATGATTCCCAATAAGGATGAAACAGTTGTACAGTGCTTCTCGGCTTTTCAGCATAGATTTGCTTCAATTACAGGACGAAATCTCCACAAGCATCTTATTTCATTTCTTCACAAGACCTGGTAATTTCACTGCATGTGGGCTCGACCACTAACGACGTTTCTTTCAACCTTTGTTCTATAGTGTTATAGACAGCTTGGTATCATCACTGACGCTACATTCATTCACTACAAAACCGTAGAGCTTATTTCTGTAGTTTCAGTATGAAGATTACCAGGATATCCAGTTCACCGGACAAACAACCGATTATCTCTCTGCCTTGGCATTTATAACCTATAGCTGGGGAAACAAAATGAATGTCAGTTGTTTTGCGCCATGCATGCACCATCACGTTAGTTTGGGCAGTAAACCTAGTCAATAACTCCACTGTTATTATGGGAATTACCTTCTCTATGTTTCTGTGGTCTTACTTGGCAATGGTTGTTGGCCCTCTACAACAGATGTGCGCCAAAAGTATGGGATTCCCACAGAAATGGATTGCTAGAAGACAACGAAATATAGAGAGATGTTACCGCCGTCCGGTTCAAGCAATTCTTAACGAATAGCGTCGTATTCTTCCAATAACCTAATCAACGGAGTGTTTTGCATCATTAATTACGGTGTTTTTGTGTTGGGGGGGGGGCTCAATTGCTTATTTCGAAGCAAATCTGAAGACCAAACCTGAGTGGTCTAAATTCGAATGCATGAATTTGACCACTGCCATCCGTGGTCCAGAATGCGTTTGGCTTGGTTTCACCAGGTGCAAGTTGTGCATTGAACAGAAACAGTTCACTTAAACTCCTCAGGTGGAGTGCTGTTCAGGTCACGATGAAAGTGCCGTCAAGATACAAGTGGGTTTTGCACAATCAAATCACAGGTAGATGCCAACCTATAGAGACTTTAGTTCAAGCACTTGGTGCACGTGAATCGAAGTATCTGCTAATCTATATGGACACAGGCAGAAATGATTGCTCAGCTAGGGACATCAGCGAAAATATTCGGGTAAAACAAAGCAATCTACATGGAATCATACACACCATCCAATGAACTTGGGCCGACGAACAAAACAGAAACGCCTTTGGACAAATATCTTGGAAACCCATTCATGACAACACAATCCAGATATAATTTGAGTTCAGCCGGAAGTAATGTAACACATTCCGTTTGACAAAAATGGCGATAATCTAGTGACGACATGTAACCAGTTCATTCTATCACTGGTCATCGTGATAAAATATTAAATTATGAGCACCTGGTAATATGGCAAAAGGCCGGGATGATGCTCCATTTGCTTCCTCTCGGCGACATTCATTATCGCAACAAATATTCCCCAAAACACCCCGCAGAGTTTGTAAATTCACCATAAAATTTATGGCCTTGAAAGACTACTATTCTAAGCCTTCTAGCGCTCAGTCTTTCACGTTCTTCTGAGCTCCACTCACCACTGCAAGAACACGATCGAACTGTATGTTTCCATCAGTTCCTAGATTTGGATGGGAGTTTCGCTTTCACTTGCGGTCTCAATGCTCATTTTTGATATAATCGGAGTTCTCTCAGAAAGACCTAATCATGAATGAATAATCTCCTGAACCGAATTTATTTAACAATGGCAACCTGCTAGTTGAAGAATTATTGATTGCGGTGAGGCCGAAGTTCTGGATACAACAGAATTTGAATATATGGGAGGCAGCTTCCCAGACCTTCTTCAGTCAGGTTTAGGCACTAAAAGTAGTTACCCATGAAAAATAGGGACGACACATTCTGCCAACACATCAGTGGACGACCACGAATGGTTCATAATAGTCAAAATACACCCATACTGCTTTTACAAGATTGGCATTCAGCGACTGAAGTAGGCACGATGCTCACGGAAGCTGAAGCCATGTAGTAAAATAACGAATTCATTATCAGACGTAAACCAACCCTTTCTGTATGAGTAATTGTTCGACTGACCCAACATTTTTCATTCTCTGAGGTTGGCTTCGTATAGAACGTCAAGCAGTTTAAGATTTTAGATTTTAAAGCACACATGGGAATAATTGGAGTTCTTTTCTGGCAGTGACATATTCCCAAATACCAGTCAGAATTTTGGTCTTTATACGAATTCCAAGGCGTGTATTTTACTGTAGTTGTCGCCCTTATGATCAAATCGAGGACAGTCTCTCCATCGGCTGCATTGTCTTATATGAGTGACTCCTTCAGGTCTCGTAAATCGAAACCGTAGTGACAGCTTATTGTTCTGTCGTCTTCATCTGTCGGGTATTCCACTTTTCTAAAAAAAAATCCGTACGTGACACTGCATCCCTGGACCACTGAAAATGAAGACTGGTTTTCAAATAAACTATTTATTAGTTTGATTGCTCACTTTCTACAAATGCAAACAGATAGGTTTTTCTGCTTTTGAGATACCTAGAATTATCTGTATGAATTTTTTGGGAAAAAATGCGAATCGAATTGACTCCGTATTCATTGATTGACCAGATCATGTATCAGGTTTCCGTTGTATCGGTCTCATATTTTGGTTTCCATTACGTATACCAAGCTCCTCTTGAGCGTCTTCCTCGACGGAAGGGTTCCTTTCTATCTCAAGCCGGAAAAATTAAGGACAGTGGTACCATTCTTCAGGCTCCCTCTCTCTAGAGATATTCTCGTATGAAGAGAAACTCTGGCGATATTATTCATGTATATGAGGCAATTGATAACGTTATCTGATTCTGGAAAGTAATTGCACAGCGAATATAATGGTGTGATTTCATACTGCCGCAACCAAAGCCGATTAGTCTGGAGTTTAGCACGCTTGGTTACGGGTTCTACCGCAACCAATGCTTCAAAATCCCTAAAGGTTATGGGAGGACAAAATGGTGCCCGTCTCCAATAATTTGTGCACCACACTTTGACATTTAAGTATTCTTGCAAGACAAGTGGATATCAAGGACTACCACTAGTCGCACACGAATTTCAACAGTTGAAGCTCACCGTATGGGAAATAGAGATGGCGCAATCGTAAGCGAAACATGGGCCCGAGAGTTCTATTCTCAAAGGGAGGGGATGTCGGGAGCAAGCTTGTTTTCAACGACGTCTCGTCCCAAGGCCATAGATTTGTAGAACACAAAAACAGTCGACTGTCTTTTGCGCTTCACTTGGACAGTGCTTAAGACATTACGGCTTAAACGTCGACTCAGGTTAATTGCAGAGCAAGTTGGAATGGTTAGAATGAAGCTGATTTCTGAAAAACGGCATTCGGAATGTAGGTGAGATTACCACACACTGGAAGCAATTATTAAAACGCTCTAGAATAAAAATCACCAAGACGTGGGAATTAAAGCCTTGCTAATGCTGCCAACTTCGCACACACGTATGACTCGAAATGTTGCATTTAAATGCGTTGCATGCTTGAACATGCCAGTGTTTTGCAAGGTGCATCAAATGATACTTGACTATCATACTGCTTTGCTGCACCATTCTCGTCAGTTAATTGCTATTGACCAATCAGACATGACAATGGATGAGTTTTTCATTGTTCGGCAATGGTGAAACGTCAAGCTATAACCAAGGGGAACAGCGCTAAGGACTAGAATCTTTATTCTGAGTACAGTGAGATACCTGCTGGATATTGAACGCTGAATATAAAGGTTTTTGGTCAGTCGGTAGGATGAAATCTTCCCTAAAAATCATCTTTTGGAGTTGTTTACATCAAAACGTATGTTTATCGACTTGAGTGCGCTTTCCAGTAGAAATAAAAGTACTGTTTGCAAGCACCACTGCCTTCCATGCATCTCCTGGATAGAGTGCGCGAAGAAAGTCACAGAACACCCGCAACCTTAAGACGCGGAATGATTACACGAAACCTACCATTAGCCTGTACGCTTTAAAAGTCTCACAAGTTTCTGCCAGGAGCAATTAATTACTTGCGACGGCATCGAGTGCTAGGATAACTACCTTAATGAATACGTCTAGTAGGAGCCCTATGCTCCCACTTTTGACGCATAACCATCGCGGCAATCGGTCACCGATGAATCCATTTCTGGCTGGAATAACCATCAGAAAGTTACCACCTACCACCGTCAATCAGCAGTTTTGTTGTTCATCGATTCCGCATTAGCATTGTACTTTTCGTAGCATTAGTACATTGATACTTAGCTATCTTATAACAATTTAAAAGTGCCTATCCATCGATCAGTCTCAAGAACGGAGCTGAGAGTAAAATAGTTTCGATCTCCTTTGTTGTGCTCCTGGACGGCTCATCACAGAGGTCGATGTACGGAAAACTAGAGTAAACAGGACAGTATACAAAACTTCCATACCTTACACAACAGACACGTAAGCTATCCCGAGGAGCAAGGATAGTACGTACTCAAGTTTCCCATCAACACACCAAAAGAAGACAGACGCCCGACAAGTATACTCATCTGCAAACTAAACAGGTGTTGAGAAAATCAGATTGATCTCTCGCTCATGCTATTTCTCAGCTGGATGAGCTGTACAAAGGTCGCGCCATGTTTCAGTTGACACCATATTAGTAACACACATGTTGTATGTCAATAAAATATGCTTCGGCATCTCAAACAGCATGCCAACCGAAACACGGAGTGAAATATTTGCAGTGCATTCGTTTGGAATATTCCATAAATAGGAGGTTCAATTGAGCCTCTCGGCAGGGCTAATGTAGTTTGCAAATGAGCGTATCTGGTTAATTACGCACAATTTGGCGTTTGAGTGGAACACGAAGTAGTAGAATAGGTATCATCATCATCATCATCATCGACAGCATGACATCAGTGTTCAACACTGATGCTTCACTGCCGTACAACCTTATTGTGAAGAAAGGAATGAAAGTGGACGGGGAAAGGATTTGGTGCTAGCTTCCCACATTCATTCCGAGGCACCTACACATCTACTTATTCAGGCAACCTGAATAGCAGCTGACAACAAGAACGCCACTGACATCGGTTGGCAGCCATATCTTGCAGCGTCTCTAACCAGGCGCAGTGAGGATCACGCGGTCCCCATCCTGGAAGGCGAGTAGCACCGACAGCACCCAAACGTTTCGTGATTTCTTTCATATCCGTGTAGAATTGGTATAGATAATGTTGTTGGAAACTCAGGGACTCTACATAATCGAGAAAGGAAAAACCAGTAGTAGGGTGTCAAGAAGTCTCCGAAAACCCCATAAGTAGCTGGTCATATCAAGAGAAAGTTATCTGGCAACTTTTATCGAGAAACGTTGGATAACAATAAAGCTGATCAATGAGAATAAGCGTTGATAAGATGCGTATCTCTATGCGATTCTCTTTTAAGGATACGTTTTCATCCATGCAGCACAATTGTGCTGTAAGATGCCTTCTGCAGAGGGTACTTCTATGTACCCCTTGATGGTCAACCCATGGGAGAGTAACCTACGCCCATTCTCACCTTCAACTGCTGCTGTGTGGCGAAATGTTAGTCCAGCGCTCAGCCGCTTAGCAGAATGTGTTCTGTGAGTCCACCTAGTCTGTCCCGGGTGCCTCTGTTGCCTCTGAAATAGTCCGCGAATTTAAGCCGAATCAGCCCATAGCAGTAAAACATCTTGACTTTCTTACAGCTGAGTCGACCAACATCAGACCGAGGAACCCAGTCTTCTGCTTACAAAATAGATAAGTGAGCACACTTTGCTTTGAACCAGCAGTATATCCCTACAAGTGGACGAAAGTCTAACAGTAGCTACACGAAATCTACAGACAAGGTCCCATCTGCGTATTGATTTCCAGCCTTTTGATTGCATTGAATGAAGAAACAATTACTGGAAACCGTCTTTTATCAGTATGCTTCTTGTGAATTGAATGTCATCGTCCTGTTGAGGTGCATGCCGCAGCGGTAATCATAATATCTATGGTTTGTTAAAGAAGGCTGGAGTGATTTTGATTCCGAAGGATAGGTGACCCTACTGATATCAACCGCGATAGATGTGTATCCTAAGTAAACGTTTATAATCCGGTTAAACGTCAAATGAGTTCAGTCTAACAGTACAGTGAACACTATTAGTGGAGAGAGAATAGTGGAGAGATTAGTGATGAGATTATAGTTTACCACTGAGTGGATTTGAGCATTCAGCCTTCAAAGAAGTTGAACCATTTGTCGTTTTGACGACAGTGGTTGATGATGCTCTGGAGGAATTACTAACCACTACGATGACATCTGCCGCTTCTAAACGTCTATGACCTGTAGTCACATGAAGCAGTTGAGCACGAGGGAAGGTCGTTTCGGATGGAATACAGCCTATGCACTAGGTTTCAGGTGAAGCGGACTTTTTGGTTCGAGTGCAAAAATAAGTGTGTTCCAAAAGGTATCGAACGAATTTCCAGTAGACTTATGTTGACCGTCAGACGTAACTTGCCGGCAAGCCAATAACACCAAGGTACTGTGTCTAGTCTAAGCCCACAAGGTTCGGATCACTATGAGCAAGTTACGATGATACAATACTTAGCATGATGGCCAAAGGAAACTTCGACAGAGATCTAACCAGCAAGCTCAAAAAGATTCCAATGCACTTTCAGCCAGTAGATATGTGAATTTCTAAGCAATATTTCCGAAGCGTTCATGTAGATGTGTTTGTCTTGAAGATTTATCCTCTAGGCAACTGATCATCGACGCATATGCTTTCCACCTCCTGAGTAGATTACATACCATGCCACGCTTGGAAATATCTGAAGCAAAGCTAGAGATGAGAAGGTAGTGATTATTCCGCATTATGCTGTAATGAGTGCTTTGTTTAAATGTATTATACAGGCTTAGTTTTGTGAGCAACCACGAATCCCGGGCTTTGATTTGAATCTCCCTTGTAATACAGAGACGGATGAGAATGGTAATCAGCAAAGCGAAAAAGCACTTAAAAACAGAATATCGTTGAACCTAGGTTTACACGGTGTGGCACATGCAATAACATTACGTAACTAACTCTGTGCCACTATTACAAATGTCACGAAGAAATGGATCTAATGTGTGGTAACTATTGATCTGTTAGCGGAGCTTGTCATTTAACATTTTCACACCCAACAAGGATATACCACTGAGTGTTTGGGTGCGCATTGATGATACGTCCTCGTTTGGTGATGAGACGTTTTCAAGTCAGTTAATACGCTCTGAGAACAGACCCACAGCCACCTGATCAAAAACCAATAAACGTCCCCAGCTACTAATATTTCAACACGTTGCCACCGATGATACTGCAGAGCTTTTCATATGGAAAACCCTGGAAAGTAAGAAGACAGTTTCTGAGCAAAACAGAATTTCATCCATAATTAGGACCAATGAATCACACTGTGGAGGAAACAGGCACTTGCAACTGAACCTCTCATGTGTGACGTCCCATAACAGGTCGTGAGCTGTCAAAGGGTCTTCAACAACCCCCCACAAGTAGTGTTATGTCAGGAAATAAAACACAGATGTCTTGAGTATCATACTAACTTAAAGATGGGACAGGCATCGTGCAGCACATCCAATCGGAAAATATCACGGACAAAGGATTCAACTTGGATCCAATTTTATCTCTCACAAAACCAATTTAATTCGAAAATGATCGCATTTTGCCACTTGCGTAATCTTTGGTGCGCAAATAGAAAATAAGCTTGGTCAAGGATATGGGACCACGCCTACTGGATGAGACCTCAATTACATTGAAGCCAACTATGAGCTGCCGAAGAGTTTTCATCAACCTTATGAGTAATTTTATGTCAAGGGAAATAGTGAAATACCTTGTTACTTATTCTCCTATTAACACGGATAGAGTGATAAATGCTGACGCCATATCAATACTCCGAATTTTGTGTAACAGCATTTCAACAAAGCCGACATTATTCACATGCTTCGTGAGAAAGAAACGGAAATCGATACACTGCTGGAAGAAATGGCAATTGACCAATCCCAACGTATGGAGACACAAGATGCTCTCTCTGAGGCGCAAACAATCATCGAAGAACTTCATGACCAGCTGAATGTAGTTCGATTGCGAGCCGCACAGTGCGAGACAGATATTGAAAACCTCAAAGTAAGTGCTTTGTCTTTTCAAGTGAGTCGTGCGGCTTTTGCATCTCTAAGTTCCTCCAGGTTGCCCATTTTCAAAAACCACCGTTGCTGCTCACATCGATGTATACTGCTTTCTACCGAATGGTCTCACAACAGGGAGTACTGAAACATTGTCGGGTACAAATTAGTCTTGGTACATGGTGAGAATAACCAAGTCAACCTGTTGCAGAGTTAGTCCTCCTGTTCTACGGACATAGTGAATTCGGATGTATGAAATCAAATTCCGGAAGAACGTTTTCTTGTGTTTTGGACTTTCCTTCCTCACCACTCACGGAGTCATGCCAATGCTTCGGACTGTTGACACTTAAGGGGAATTCATCTATTTTTGGCCTGTCCACTGAGCTTCGCAATTCTTTTGGAGCAGATATCGTCAGCGGGCCATTGCGGGCACCGATAATGTCTCCTCTGATTGGCCATTTGACAGGCATGACGCACAGGTAGATAACCGAAGAGTTGAGCCTAATTTACCAAACCAATGGTTTACATGACTTTGTAGGAAAACTACCGAAAACAAAACAATGGGCCACATCCCAGTAAGGATATTTTGGTGCAACTTTGCATAAAATCAACAAATATTAGCTATGAGCTGACATCTACAGCTGCCAGCTGGCGTAAAAAGCAGCTGAGTGAACTCCATGAATAACTTTTTCAAGGAAAATTGTAAGAGACTGAATGGAAGATTTCAGATCACTTCGACTAAGGTCGAAATTCGTTCGACCTGAACATTTCAAGCTTCATTGCAGTGCAGGTTACTAAAACCTGCATGAGGTCTATGTTCACTAAATTAAGTCTCCCTGAAAGCGAGCAGTATCCTTTGGGTTAGTCTTCACGCAGTTGCACATCTCTTATGAGGGGATGGGGCAGCAACTAAGCATATTGATCCAAGTATGAGCAACCAAAATGGAACATATGGATTTGCTAGAAAGCAGTGGTGCAGTATTCCAGAATGGGAACGTTTAAATGCGTGTTGATGCAGTTGAAGCATCGTCTTGCGGTTAAACTGATCAGATACCGTGGACGCCAAACCGACTGTAACGAGTACATGGAGGTTCACGTAGGACAAACAGCAGCTGAATTCCGAGGTGCTAGAAGTCAAGAAGTACTTGTGTGAAGAGAACGTGCAAATACGTGAAAAGTTGTTGTAGACCAACCTAGTTGATATGTGGCCGTGTGTAGCTATTAGTGATCAGCAAGGTAAAAGCACCTTCCAGCTAGAATCTACGCGACCCCCTTTCCACTCCTTAGCCAAACCATGGAAGCAATTACCAGTCCCATTCGAACTAGCGAAATTAGTAGTTGATACTCAACAGGGACGTCAACTGAGATGCCCTGAAGTGAAAGAACAGGGTCCAAGAGCAAAACAAATTAATATTGGGATTGGTAGGAACTCTAGGACTAAACCTACCTGACGAGCTTCAAAAAAGGGTGGGCCAGTAGTAGACTGTCGAAAAATATCACAAACGAGAGATTCAGAGAGTCTATCATCGACACCAAAGCAGTTCAGTATTGAAGCAGAAAATGCGTACGATGTAAACTCGGGGGACTATGAGCCCCAATAAGGGCAAAACGGTTGGTGGAGTATCAAATGATTTTCAGTTAGAAAATTGGTGCTAATGTTTCTCCCTTATCCATCAGCCGTAAAGCCCAGTCACTCGCACTAACCGGCATAAACTTTCAAAAGACACTCAACAGTGACTTAGTCTGCTAGCTAAAATGGACCTTTTAAAACCCGACAACTTGACAAATTTCTCGGCCCAACGAGGCAAATGCGGTAAAGGCGGAACTCCACGCAGCAATAATTCGGCCAATCGTTTACCAAACTTTTCTGAAACAGTAGCTCAGGGTATACCTTTAGATCTGCCCTCATGTGGAATAACTTTTGTCCCATTGGTAGGGTAACAATGGTAAACGCATACACGTCCGCTGAATTTCACGGTTCGAACTCAAGCGCATACAGTACTTATGAGCCCCAGTCGGAGCGTCAGTAGCCCCAACTAAGTAAAAAAATAAGCTTATCTGTGTTTGATACAAGATGGGCAACTATAGTCCCGGCTCGCTTATTGCCCATTTGTTGGTAATTAAGTGGAATTTACTACAACAGATAAAAGGATTTTTGAAACTTATTATAACAGGTGATCCAAGCGGCTTTGTAGATAGCATGGTGCATTAACACTAGATCGAGCTGGTCTCGAATTCCACACCAACCTCTTCAAGGTGTCTGCCAGCTCTCGTCCTGCTGACGTGCACCCATCTTCTAATAAATGAAGACGTAGAAAAGAACTCTAGGCCTGACCCCATGAAAATTCTTACGAACAAAACGCATGACTCACTTTCAACATTATGTTTTGTAAATGAAGCTAATTCATATGAAAAACCTATGAGTACTGTGCAGCTGTTTCATCTTCACTGTGATTCATCAGTAGTGCGCTTCTTACGAAACTCCAGCGAGCTTCGAACCGGCGACCTCCAAGGCAGTGATTTAGACACTTAAGCACTCGGCGACGAACGGCTAATCAGAAGTGTGATTAACTCACACTTTGACAGGATAGACTTATTTCCCTTACAGAACGATAACTTGATTAAAAATTATTAAATGCCCTCACACTACCATCATTTATTTCTTCGTTCAGCTGAAGTCGCTGTTTCTCAGTAAACAAGGCAATGACGATAAGGCAGCCGAGCAACACTTGTACGACCTTTGTGAGCAACTCGATGCCGAGGTGAAGGATTTGAGAAAACAACTTGGGCAATCCGGCCGGGTACAAATCAGCCTGGAAAACCAAAACGAATATCTCAAGCGACAGTTGCAAAACCACGGTCTCTCACGCTCCGCGTCCCCTAGTCCATCTGCGGAAGAATCCGGTTTTGTAGATAGTCAACTATCCGTACCTCAACGCATGCTTCCATTATCACAAAGACAACTCCATCAGCACTATGAAGAGCTGCAAAGACGGATGGTGGAATTGGAGGAAAAGCATCGCGAAGAAATCAACACGTATGAACAAGAATTGGACCGTCTAAATGCTGAAATGGATTCTTGGAAAAGCAAAGAACAGGAATGGCACGATATCCATCAAACTTTGTTGGAACAACAAGAGGACCTTAATGAAGAGCTGAAGGCAAAAAACAAAAAAATCGACAGAATGTCACGTAGGAAAAACAAAACGCCCACAGGAGCCTCCTCAGACGTGAGCTGTCCACAGGTATTTTTCTAATGTTTTGACATAGTTTCATATTCTCCCAACCGCTATTCCCGAAACCTCACCTAGTTTACGGCTTCTAAGCAATTTGACTTGTGAAATCAGATCTGAAGGAAAGTTAATCATTACCATTTTCATTCATAGGCAAAAGGAACTTTATGTGGATTCCCATTGGAAGCGTAATTTTTATTCACACACGCTCGCTTTTCTTTTCTCTGTGTGTTTCCTACCTGTACATGGATTGATTTGGAGTAATTTTTAGGTGAATTCGTCGTACTCAGCCTTGTGCATTACCAATGTCTCCAACTGCAAGACGAATTAGCAATGATCAGTGCTATATGCAAATGTGCTGCACAGTCGTGGGACGAGATTATGCTACCACGGGTCCCTACACAAAAAACGTTGTGAATTCATACAACACCCTCCATGGCTATATTGCTTCTTCTCCATATTTCTGATGTATAGCATGGCACCGACATGTCAAAAGAACATTAAAAGTGAATAAGTAAGCGGCTTTGTTAATTTTAAAGCATCAAAGGTTGCATATTACTGTGCAACAGATGTGTGCATACCTACTGAAAAGTTAATTGGCCACTGGGGCGAGATGGCCCAAGTGGTTAGAGCGCGAATTTACTAACCGGAAGGTCCGTGGTTCGAATGCGACCTCCGCCACTCGACTTCCCCTGTTTAGGCTTGGGCAACCTGGCAGTATTCCAGTCCTCGTGCTTCCTTTGGGTGGCATGGCAGCTAGGCACCGGAAGGGTGCTACAGCTGAACGTTTAATTGGCCACTGCAACAAGTTGAGAAGCATTCATTGGGTGGCAAACCGATTGGTCGTTTACTTTCTGAACTCTTTTTCACATCTTCATAGTAATCAGGGTATAATACACCAATCTTAGCTCTCCACCGCTATCTAAATAGGATTCGGTCTTTTTTACCATAAGTCATCCTGGAATGCCTCTTTTGCTTGTCTTTTTTAGGTCATTTCTAAATTCTATCGGCCTTGTTTGAATCATTGCATTGTTTTGTCGTCAACCGAATCATTGGGTTGAATGTGAAATTGCCCTTTCACTCAAGGTTGCACAACCAGTTTCCGTCGCTTATAACACACATGGTCAGAGTAATATTGCTGTTGGGATGTGTAGGTGTGCTGGATACGTGTGACGACCTGACCTTAATTCCATTCTCTACCTAGCTCGTGCGTCCAAAGAGAGGGGAAGAGATAATTTCACAAGTGAAACTTTCTTCTGAGATTTCGTCACTCAGGGAGGCAGTCAATACGTGGACACGTGATGTGGTTGCGTGACTTAAGGATAAGTGACACTGTCCTGCCAAAGTGAAATCTAATCAGTGTTGATCATGGCCAACCAGTTAGGTGTTCAACCACTGGCCGCCAGGTCACGGATTCGAAACCCTCTGAGTTATGTGAGATGCGCACTGTTGATGATTTAAAACAAGGATGGAACAGCTGTGCAGTGCTCATCGGGTTTTCAGCATATATTAACTTTACTGACCAAATGAAACCTCTACTGAAGACAAGCCCCAGTTTAGTTTGAAAGTCACTGCTCTCTGAGTCTCATCGATTATACCGAAAAAAGGTTAACTAGCAATACAAAAGTTGACAGACTTCATTAAAACGCAACGTTCAATTTCACCGCACAGGCCACAAATCAAACGTAGTTCACGGCAGTTCAGTCTCATTTAAATGTTGCATTTAAGTCAAGCGTTTCGTCAGTGCTCATACCAATACAAGGTTATCATTCCAGTTCGATAGACAGGTCAATATTCGATGCGATTACTCTCCTAAAACTAGGTCACAAATTGGTCTGTACAGGAAGTCCATGAGCAAATTCCTAGCATACCAATTTTTGCCCAAAGATAACCAACTGTTGCTAATCCTAGACTTTACAAAGTAGTCGACTGACTGAGAACAAAACTACGGTCTACTCGAATAAGAATGGGATGGTTTCAAATGGATTTTGTTATCAATAACCTCAGACCACATTCATACGTTGGATGAACATGAGGTGATGTAAGAACGAATAAATTGTCTTTTCTAGTATCTTCAGAAGAGTATCTGACTAACTGTTTTGTTTACACTGTTTTTATAATGCGACATTTTCTATGGCGGCAAAATTCTTTGGGCTAGATCAGACGGGTTCTCAAGACAATCATACCTCATTCAAAGCTAATAATACGTGGACGGGCATGTCCGGGTCTGTTGTTCTCTTCTCATATTTCCGTTACATACCACATGTGCATTTATAGAGTGAAACATGGCTCTTGGTAGTTCCTTAGCTGTTGGTTTTATATCCACCTGCCATTCGGAGCTCCTCTCCGTTTAACTTGGTGCGATTTCACCCTGTTACTTTTTGTTAGTTTTAAGGCTAGCGATGCTGCAGAATCCGTTCCATGGTTCAAGATCACGGCTTAAAATAAGGTGCTTGTTTTCAACCGGCAATAAAACTGTAGCCATGGGTTAGCAAACTGAGGTGTTGAAGAACGCTGCACCTTGTACGAAGCGAATGTAATCATGTTTATTCATGTAACGTCAAGACACATTTGTGTATCTCTGGTTGACAAAAAAACATTATGGCCGTCCAGTGCCTCAAAGTAATGAGAAGGACTTCTAACCTGGAAGTCCAATAAAAAAAGTACTTGCCATTCCAGTTGACCAACCAAGTCAATTAAACAGGCAGCTCACATGAAGCAGACATGAAGGTAGAATGAAACCACAAAATCGAACTACTGACAACTTTACAGTAGTGCAATCAAAGGTCCATTTTTCCATTGTTTCGGAAAGCGGGCTGTTTCCATGTGCCAACGATGGCCCGTCACCTGATAAACATACCTAGACACAGATGAACCTATCTAACTAAACGCCAAGGAATTTTCATGAGAATTCAGTGTTATGAAAAACTGGGGCGGTCGTTCAACTAGTTGTAAGTGTCGGTCGAGGTCTCCCACTGCAAGTGAAGTCAATCTGACGAAAAGTCGAAAAGCACCGTACATTATTTGGAATGATCAGTAGTGGGCATCTCACGAAAATGCAGGAAGCTCCGAACCCCTGGCCTCCCGGATAGAAAACGGAGACAAAATGGTCCGACCATCAGCAGTACGACTACATCAAATTTGGACGGAATATTGCTCAATTCACGCTGCTGATCGATAGCTCTAACTACTAGATGATAGATTGCGAGTTCATATTGCCCCGAAAAGTCATAAGGTCCACATTGATGATGATTCCCAATAAGAATAAAACAGCTGTACGGTACTTCTCGGCTTGCTGACATAGAGTGAATTCGCTTACGATCCAAATTTTCATATCTCCGCATGTTACTAATAGTCACAAGTGAACAGTTCCATAAGGAATTCCAACGCATGAGCTAAACCTCAGAACAAACAGCTGTACGGTACTTCTCGGCTTGCTGACATAGAGTGAATTCGCTTACGATCCAAATTTTCATATCTCCGCATGTTACTAATAGTCACAAGTGAACAGTTCCATAAGGAATTCCAACGCATGAGCTAAACCAAGCGAAAATGTTTGCGCTATACCTGCAAAGCGATGACCACTTAGTGTTTCGGCCGAGTTATGAAGTTGAACCTGAAGATTGGGAACCACTCTCATCCATCTGATGAGTCGTGAATCAAGACTAAATGGAAGTAGATTGCTGGGTAAGAACTGATCACTCTGGCCTCATAAGAAATACATTCAAACAAGATTTGGATTTGCAAAGCCAGGACGACTCGCGTCGCAAAATAAAAAGCACCGTCTCTGATAATACGCACCAGTAGTGCTTGAAAGCAGCATAACACCACCTGCTGTCACTGACTTGGTATATGCATTGGAAGCTACGTGAATACCGTTCCGGTCTGTCCATATCAAATAGATCGCGCCAGCCAGTATAACCGAAGTCATCGCAACTGGCCAAATGGTTGTTAGCTTCGTTATTAGCCGGTTAATAGCGAATGAATTGACCTAATAACCAGAAATAAGATTTTACCGAGAATATTGATTGCCGATCTATGGGCACCGGCGGGCAAGACGAGAATAGGTATATCCCAATGACATTGTTCTGTCAACTGATAGATCAGAAGAACCGCAACGCATTCATGACAACCAGGAAGCGTTTATAGGGGTGAAAATCATTACTAGGAAGACTAAGTTTTTCCACCTGTACAGATGTGCATGCATGACCTTTCGACCCAGAAAGTGAAGAAACCGAAAAAGTCACTCTATTGAAATGCGTGGATCTTGTCATCCAACTCAAAAGAATGGACGAAAGAAATCAAACGTCCTATTGGCGCAACCAAGCATGTTACAGCCGTCTCCTATTAACAATAACTTACTGTGTCAATCGCAACCTACGTACAGTCTGGTGTTCGCATGTGAAATAAGACTGACGGAAATTCAGCGACTGGACCTACCCGATAAGATTCAAGGAACACGACACAGGTAATGGCATGTCCGCAGTCTTCATTGACCGTGATAGTAAGTTAGGTCAATAATTCTGTGTATAACCGTTCAGCCTGGCTGCCATACCACCCGAAGGAAGCAGGAGGGCTGGGATACTGCCAGGTTGCCAAAGCCTGACCAGGGGAAATCGGGAGGCAGAGTTCGGGCTCGAAACACGGACCTTCCGGTCAGTAAATTCGCTCTATAATCACTGAGCCATCTCACCCCAGTTACAAGTGTACGTTGAGTCCATTAGTTGAGGAGCTGATTGTAAACAGACCTTGACTAAAATGGACTGATTTATGTTCGTTCTAGGTGGTTGCGGGTTGTGGACTTCACGTTCACATAACTTTCGTCTAAACAGTTCTCCACCTGTCCTGGCACAGTCATTCTCACATAAAAGGATCACTGTACACCAGTTTAGCTCTCATCATTAGCTCTTATTAACAATGCATATCTATGGATGACGCTGAGCATGAACTCCGCACATTGGAAGTGCCAGGCAGGTTTTACCGCTAGTTCACCAGCACATGCTGAACGTTCGGGAGTTCATAGCGTACGATTTCGTTCTAAAGGGGTTCTACTGTAGCTGATACACAAGGTGAACTAGAACTGATAACGAAGTTTGAAGATTTTTTCTATTATTTTATCATTTCGAAGGACGACCAGGATGCGAATCACGAGGAACTGATCCACAGGATCACGGAGGAACGTGATCGATGGAAAGCCTACGCGTGTGCCTTGGTTCGAACTATTGTAGAAAACTGCGACGAATTTATTGATAAGACCTCATACGATGAACCTGACTTGTCTACCACGGCGGAGCGTCGATGGTACAATTACGCAATATACTTGCTCGAGATCCTCCTGGAAGTGGCCCCGCAAAGACTGACCGAAATGGATGTGCAGCTCCTCAGGCGGCGCAGATCAGCCAGTTGCCCACCAGTCTCTTCTAACTCGATATTCGATCATGGATTTGAAGGACCAGATATCCTTTCGGCAGTCAACATCAGAACCATCGCTACAACTAACCGACTGACATTAAGTGAACGCGTGGCTCGAATGGCCAGAAAACCAATATTTCGAGCCAAGGTACGACATTAACTTCGAAAAGAAAAAGAACTCCACCCAAGACGGTGTTTTTACCATCAACTTGTAAATAACAGTGTGTGCGCCAATCCAGTATATAACCAATTCAAAAACTGACTTTTGTCCATTTTTGGGGATTACACTGCAAATATAAAAAATGCCCTATATGTTCAACGAAGTGTCCAGCAACTTATCTGCACAACTAATCCTAAATCGGCCGCACAGCCTGCGATCGCCGTACCCAGCAGAGTTGGTAAATTCTGGCGGAAGGCCGCAAAATCTATTACTGGTCAAACAGGATGGATAAAGTCTATGATTAATGTGTGCACTACAATTTGAGAGTACAAAAATCGGCGTATATGAAAGTGCTCTCTCATTCCTGTTTAACCTAGTTGTAAAGTTGAATTCAGGCCCACGAGCACTACTTAAGCTGAATGAGGTATCGGAATTCGTGCTTGTTTCTTTATTTAGTGTAGAAGGCTGAAATTAATTGCACTCTCATGGATTCACTACCATTGGTGACGTATATTAGAATAAGTCCCTCAAGCATGGAAACGAGAAGTAACCTCCAAAGGCGGCTGAACCGTCCTGAGCACGTAAGATTAATTCCAGTCGACCGAACTAATGCGAAAGTGGTGCATTTACCAGAGTTCAGCGAATTTGCGTTCGCTATCCGGAACGCAGTTCTACTGAACCTATATCTCCCTGAACTTTTTCAATCTGCTTGTCCGAGCAAAGTTCGTCCCTAACAAAACACTCATCATCATTCAACCTAAACGAAGATTACTTTAAAACGACACGAGCGAGTGTGCTTTCTTACTCTCTACAGCCCATAAGGAGTTGAGTTGACCCACTCAACTGTGCATTGATGATGTCTCCTCGACTGAGGACGAAACGTTTGCAAGCCAATTGACAAGCTCGGCCAACGAACAGATCGTAGCATACAGGACTAACACAGACGATTGTATGATGGTCCAGCGCGATCAAATTCATTGCACCGCACACCAATCAGTCAAACGATTCTGAGAACAAAAGTCCGACTGTAGATGAGAACGCAAGTTCACTTTTGTCAAACAATGCACGAACGACTGTAAATTCACCAGCTAGGTGTGGTCAAAAGTGAAAGCATTATACTTGGAAGTAAGACTTGTAGTATCATGATACGTACAAACCAGTTTCGAAGAGAACTAAGCCCAGAGCGTCATTTACAATGAACGAATGAAAAAGTAAAAGTAACGAACGAAATCTAAGTGAATTTCATTGAATAAGTAGCAAATCTGTACATTGCAAATGCTTCCTTGGATACCTAATGCGGTATACAAGCCACAGAGTTAGTCATTCACGCTCAATACGCCCAACAGCGCCCAGAGTCAGCCGATGGAGATTAGCAGTCTGTCGAAGATGCCTTCGCTCTCTCCTAGCCTCTGCACGCCAATCTTGTCTTTCTTTCCATAAGCGAGCCCACATGGCACTTACTTCTTGGTTTTGGAAAGACGATTTGTCCGCTCCACTTTGTTCGGATGAGTGATCCGTGCCCTGCAAGAGTAGGAAACAGTAAAAAATGAAAGTCACAAATCGTTCAGCCGTAACACCTTTTTGGTACTTAGATGTCATGCCACCTGAAGGAAGCACAATGGCTGAGGTACTTGCAGGAGCAGTCGAGATGCAGAGGGTGGGTTCAAACCATGGACCTTTCGGTCAGTAACTTCACGCCATAACCACCAAGCTATTTCGAGCCCAAAACAGAAGGAAAAACGTGGATAACAAAACTGTCAACCGATCTCGTCGAACATCGGCGAACCAAGTGCGCGAAAACCAAGTCTCCGGTAAAATGACCCCATGAGCTTATCCGTAAAGATATGTTAAGCGCACCATCAGTCATAATCACGGTCGACTGGTAGTGCTGAGAAGCATGTCCAAGACATCATCTCCTACGTGAGGGATGTACTGTTGTGAGCAAAGTTAGAGGATAAAAATGTGAACAAAGGCCGAATGTGGGTCAGAAAGTGATATCGTAAGATCTTGAAATGAATTTACATGACCACAAGAAGATATTTTTAAAACATTCATGATTTTGAACATATCGCGTGACTATGCTTGTAAACCTTTCATGTAGTGAACTGATCAACTTACTAACTCATTCCGTTTACACGCAGACCGAATCTTCTGCAGTAACTCATCTCTCGGAAGACCATAGACGTTGTTCGGTTTAATACAGCTAACCAGGGAGGAAGATGGACAACTCCATGTGCTACCTCTAACATCAGTAGTTGTTGATGACGATGTGCGGCTGATTTCTTCGTCCTACATATTGTAAGTGAAAGAACATAATAAACTCAGAACAATAAAAGCACCAGGGAGTTCAAGAAAAGGACACCCTACTCGAATGCGTACAGGGACGCGACATGTGTTTATGATACCAAAATATATTCAACGATTTTAACACACGAAAAAAGAATATGTCCACGATTACGCCTGACCCATTTTCGATCAGTACTGCCCAGATGGCAGCCGCAGACAAAATCGACTTTGCTATCTGCTGGTAACGCGCAACTTTGCCTACGTTGGTTACATAGAAACTCCAAGCCGCTCAAAATAAACACCTTGGACCACGAAGATGGGCAAGGGATTCTTCAAACTTTTAGGCAACGGGCTGACACAAACACCTTAGAGATTAGCGTATCGTGCATCGATCCATGATATCGACACAGAGAAACTTCGTCACTCCATGTGGAGGATGCATAATGGTTGCGTCTTTGTTCAACATTGTCTAAGGAGTATTTTGCGCGTTTGGCACACAGTACAGAAGTTCTAATGAAACCAGAGACAGAGCTGTAGCGCAAAAACTTCCCTCGCCTCGACTGACAGTATTGCAGCCTCGCAGAATGATAAGACACACTATTTGCCCTTCCCGGTCCACGTTTTAAAATGCAGCCAAGAATGTGTGCTGCCGTAAGGAGAGAAAGATGGGCCTCCCTACTAGGTCAACTCCGACTCGCAGCTGGTATTCAGAAGACACTAATCTTTTGTGTCTACAGCGACTGTCAGTTATCAGAGACACCTACTGCTTCGAATGCACTAGTTCGTCTACCAACATGGTACATGTATCCCTCATGTTAGATATATACATCTGTTCAGAGATAAAACGATCAAACCACTACAGGTACGGACACAAGTCTTGGTGCTGAATGGTATTTCCAATTAAACCGACCCCGGTTTAGTTAAGCTGTTTTTCGACAGTCAATTGTATATCCTGGCAAGTGCCTGCTTAGTGGACATTCCATACCAGATTGAAACGTACAAAGCAATTACTTGGTAATGAGGTCGCACAAACAAGTCCAGTGTGACCATGAATAGACAACCAAAGACAACAAACTGATGAGAATGGAGGAAGCTGGGAATGGGTACGTTGTATCAGGCTTGAATTTAAGACAGTATTGGAAAGCTTTGGACCTATGCACATTGCCTTCATCCAAAAATGTGAAACCATTGGAGGAAGAGGTTTAGCATATGCATGATCAATTAGTGTTATCTTATCATCATTGAAAAAGTGGACTCGGTGATGTGGACAGCTAACTAGTTAAAATACAACTCAAGAAAATCTCTCTTCCGGGACAGGCGCTTTTTTCGTTCCAGATGAACAGAACTTACGCCAGTTTCCGAGGTTATGGTAAATGTAAATTTTGGAATCTTGTGAGAGCTCAAACGTTTCCTGCAAAGCAAAAGGTAAAGAAAACGATTAGCTGTCAGGTTTGAGTTGTCGAAACAGAACCCACCGAAAGTCAGTTGAACTGCCGTTCACCTTGCATTCCAGCTCCACAGCGAGTTCCAACGCCCGCGCCTGACTGAGTGCATCGCCTGTCACCAAACAAGGTAAGGCGCAACGAACTTCATAGAGATTGGGTCGGTCGCCAGGGGAGACCTAGATAAAGTCGATGACAGATTCAGGATTAAAAATTAACGATAACGACAGCAGTGGAGCTGAGGTATAAGAGCCATAGAGATTGGCAGTCCCAGACAAGAGTATGTCTTAGTTCGTACTGTTTTCAAGCAGGAGGATAAAACATATTCCTTTAATAATCCTTCTAGCTCAAATATGACAGTTCCAGCGCATATAATACAGTTATCGGTTAGCCGTAACACCCTTTCGGTACCTAGCAGCGCATACCACTATGTAGCCTGTCGAATTTCCAAGACCTACACAGAAGTAATTGAAAATTCGGGGTCGGTTTCGCACCAAAAACTCTTTCGTTAAGAACATGCTCTGTACAATTTAACGGGAAAATATCATCTGAGTCCCCACCCCCATTTTGATCCCTGTATCGTCCCTCAAGCCCACACACTCGTTGTAAATTGTTGGTGTTAGTACTTAGATATGGGGCGAGTGCACACGATCATTTCAGAGGGGCAGTTACGATGCTATCGTTGCGCTTCCGTAAGACTACCTGGATTACTGGTGGGACGAATGCGCCAAACACAACATCCTTTCGTGTCCCAAGTGTTTAAAGCAGGAAGCCTAGAACACGACCGAGGATATTCATGACAGAAGATAGACGGAAGCAAGATCTCTTTGGAATCGAAGAGCCCATGTTCACCATAACCACCAACCTTATCGTTCCACTTTGATCCAATTATAAATTTAAGTTTCTTTGAGATGGCCGTACATGTTTTTTAACCGCCAACAGCCGAATCACTTGGGTACATATGACCTGTAGTCCTGAGATCAGCATCTTTCAACTATACACAAAACTTCTGACCTCTACATGATGGAAATGTGGAATGTCAAGACACAAAAATGATGTCCAAACAATGTGCATGAGTCCCCATACATGTCTGATTGTCACTTAGTCTTAATGAGTCAACCAACTGTTCATAAGGTTTCGGAATGGACAGTAATAAGGCTATTCAAGTTCATAACGGCTACACTGACGGATATTTTATTTGTGGATGCTTCAAAATCACAGCATGCGATAAACGGTTAAAAGAGTACTTACATCAGTGACCTGTAATAATGTAGTATCTTCTCCGAGTACGCCCTGCTGGATAGCTTCCTGAATGACTTTCTTATACTTATGCAATGCCTTTACATGCTCCTTCTGTGGACCACAGTCTTGTAAACAGGCTCGCGTACCGTAGTCCACCGCCGGAAACACAAGACCACGC